GACCTAATTTTGGGAATTCTTTTGGAGTAATTCGTATGAGGCAAAAATCACGTGCTCACAGTTAAACTTGGGCATCTTGAACCCGGCAGGCAGTTGAACATCAGGGAACAAACACATATCCTTATAAGCCATACTCACCTGGCTTCCTAACCCCTGCATATTTCTCAATGATTGCTCCAGACTCTTTACCTTCCTAAACATCTCCTCCTGCTCCGCGTTCTTGGGTGGTTTCTCAGTTTCAACATGAGGCTCAAAGTGAGGAGTGTAAGAATAAGGATCTGGGACTTTGAAAGTCAGTTCTAGGGCATAGTATTGGGTATCTGGAGCTGAGAATGCGGTTGTTTTGGCTGGTGGAGCATGGAAAGTTTGGGAGGAAGTGCCGGGGTAATTGTGGTAAGGGTTGAAGCCTGGGTCGCGTTGAGGGGAAAGAGCAACAGTAGTAGGAACCTGGGCTTATGTTAGTGGTGGGATAGTTGTAAGGTTTTCAGTGTACTTAGTTGGGAAGGAAGGTGGAGGATGTCCCCTGATCCACGATTGATACATTTCTGTCATCTGCTGTTTCAACCTTCGGACCTCCTCTTTCAGTTCCTATTCTGATTCTACAATCTCCCTTGGTGGGTGTACAACCCCAGTGTCTTTTTCTTTGCTAGCCATAACTGCCTTGTGCTTTTTGGTGTTGTATGGACGAATCACCAAAGTGCCACAAACTAACCACCCTCTGTTATAATAATAATGAAAGTAACATAGAAGAGCAAAACGAAGCCAACATGTTAGCATTAGGACATTTATCAGATAAAAATATCACATTTCGTGCAATGTCCCTAGTCACAGTTAACGGTTCTAGAATGGCTTCGAGGGTACGAAAGTCATATGGCAGCATCCCAGTTTTACTCTTCTTGCCCCATTTCCTTCTTCATTTTCCTTTCTAACACCGCTTGGTTTTTCATTTCTTTTCCCCTCTTTTCTTTCCGCTCATTTCTCACGTCCCAAAACTTCATTCTTTTTTTCTCTTTTTCTTCTTTTGTTTTCTTCTTCTTTTTTTTGTTTTTTGTTTTTTTTTAAATGATGATTCGATCGAACCCTATGTAGGTTGCCTACGTATCATGTCACTCATGAATCAGATCAAGCGTAGTTCTGAAAAAGTAATGGACAAAATAAATTAAGAAAGAAAAATCTTTTTGAATTTTTCATTTATATTTTTTGGTCTTTCAAATACAAAATAGAATGTACGATAATGAAAGACTCGACAAACTCTTAAACCACCTAAGAGACTTAAAAAATAGGCTCAAAATATAAAACGTCTCCTCAAGTAACTCCTGAACGCAATTGTCCTGGGGTATCTGTCATGCTCGAGTCCTGGTACGTAGATCCATACCTAAATGAGAAAAATAGGACCAAATAGATTAGCGACTCAAGACACTATGTGAGACCACACCTCCTATTGGACACATGCAAGACAACTATTTTTGAAAATTAACTTGCATGGCCAAGAGTGGCTATTAATGCAAACTCAACAAGATTGACCTCATGGACAAGGAAAATGCCTTACTAAGGCTTTTATGGATTCAAACTCCGAACATCATGGCCCTAAATTAATTTGCAAAAATGCCCCATTTTGCAAAAATGATCGATATGGCCCGAAGTGGCTGAAGATGCAAACTCAAAAGGACGAACCTTAAGGTAGTGGGACACTTAGTTGCGAACTCAGGATTCTGAGACATGGGTCATGAACCACTTTTGCGAAAATGACCTATTTTGCAAGAATCACCGATGTGGCCAAAAGTGGCTAAAGATGCAAACTCAATAAGGACGTGCCTTAAAGTAATATAACTCCTAGTTGTGGACTCAAGATCCTAAGACATGGGTAATTGAACCACTTTTGCGAAAATGACCCCATTTTGCAACAATGTCCGATGTGGCCAAAGGTGGCTAGACATGCAAGATTTGGCTACCCTGCGAAGCCAAGAACCTAAAATTCACTACGAAGACCGGACCCTATGTGGGTTTCCTACCTATCACGTCTCGAAAGATGAGAATCAGGTTCGCGTAGTTCGGGAAGATCGGACATGGAGGAAAGTTTTTTTTTAAAAAGGCAACTAATTGGGGAAAAACATTTTTTGTCTTTTTGGATTTTCTTTTCCTCCCTTTTTTGAATTTTGAAAAATGATAAAAGATGTAAAATCTGTTGGATTTTCTTTGTCTCTTTTATTTTTTGAATTTTTTGGAAAATAATGAAAAAGTGTAAAATCTTTTTGGATTTTCGAAAATAATGGGAAAGTGTAAAATCACCTACTTTATTTTATTTCACCCTCAAATATCCTTGGTCCGCCAAATGACCCTTTTGCCCCCTAAAGAGATGCAACATGTAGCACAGAGGGATGATCAAATGTCTTTTTGGGCCATAAGCCCACTTTGACATAATTTGGATAGGCCTTCTACAACGCGACACGGTGCCTAGGACCGAACCCTGCTAGGTTTAAATGATATGATGCACATAAGTATGACCTAAAGGCTGACCTACGGTTGGGGTTCACTAGACAAGGCAATTCGGGGCGGCACGTGTTCGATGGCGGCTGCTCTAGCTGTCTGCCCACTCCACGCTCCCACGACACCCCCCTAAAGACACGAGTGACTCACAAAAAGACTGTGTACGCTCAAACGTACTCCGAAAAACTTGTTGCAGAAAGAAGACTCGGGGTTATGCAAATGATGACAGTTATAAAGCAGTAAACATATAAAGCAAAAATTGTAAACACATAAGCAATTAGCAAATAATAACAAAAATATAAAAACATAATAAAAGTCAAGTAAAGCTAATGTAAAAGCATAAAAACCTCAACCAAATATTCTAAGAGACAACAAAATCAAGTACTAACTCGACCCTGCAGGTCCCCAGCAGAGTCGCCAGAGATGTCACACTCCTTTTTTTTAACCAAACTTCACTAACCCCTACATAAATAAATAAAAGGATTTTGCAAAGCTCAAAAGGGTTTTTCAATTTTGAAAGTGACAAAAAATTTTGTTCAAAAGGATATAATTTAGAGTCGCCACCTGACGTTTGATTTCGGTGTGTCAGGTCACCATTTTTCTAAAATAATTTTTTTTTCCTTTCGAAACACTTGAGACTCCAAAACTAAGTATGCACCAGAGATTCGGTTAAGGGGGTTCATTTGACTCGGGGAGAAGGTGTTAGGCACTCCCCAAGTCCCTTAACTAGTACGGTTGCGTACTCAATCTAGTTGGCTTTTAAAATATTCAAATTGAGGTAAAATCACAGAAAAAATAAAGTAAACACACATGAGGCTCGTCGTCCCCACCAAATAAAAGAAAAATAAAATAAAATGAAATAAGTCTTGCTAGCCTATACTACGCCTCCATTGATGTTGCCACGGCCTCCATTTACATTTACTTCGAGGCATTCTCCTGTTTAAAATATATACAAATATTTCGGGGCATTCCCTGGATAAATTTACCTACGGAATGACCTTTCTCCTCAAACGAACGAAAATCCTAAAGATTGCATACCCCGATGTGGTCGGCCTAGTCATGCTCCTAGCGGTCCAATTAACGAGATTGAGAATAAAGAACAACAAAATTATATCAAACTCAATCTCAGAACATACGGCAGGCTAAAACTCACATGTAATCCTTAGCTTTCTCCAATGTAAATGTTGTTACATTTCCCTCTATGTATAGTGTAAAAGGAAGCAAAATCATCGTAGCCATTGAAGCCATATATAATAATAGATTCATCAATTGAAATTTCCTGGCTTCAGATGTTAAAGGCAACCTAAATCCATCTCCCTTTTTAACATAACCCAATCCCATATTTCATGATAAATTTCAGCACAATCTAGTTCGTGTAAATCCTAACCAATTGATGTGATCAGGATTAACGAAGCAAAATATGATTAACATGGATCAAACAAACATTTCAACACAAACAACACATAAGTTTTAAAGAAGATAAGTTGAGCGGAGAACTAAAGAATCAGACCTGGAAGAAGGAGTTTCAATCAATTCGATGTTGGTAAAATAATACACTTGAAGGCGGCAACTAAAACTCAACGAACAGAAGCGTATTCCACCAAATGAGCACTGAAACAAACACTTCAAAACCCGATGGCATTCAACGAGCACCCACGAATTCGGCACCTTCACTCATTTGAATTCCATCACTTCGAAACTCAAATCGAAATCAAAAAAATCAGCAGAGAAATTTTCTAAGATTCTGTCCAGAACTTCCTCTCGATCTCTGTCTACGGAAACGGGAAATGGGAAGGTACGCTGGTCGAAAATTGGAGAGAGGAGGTCGTTCTCTTCCTTGTGTCCAAAGGTTGAAGAAGCAGGGGGTCTTTTGGGCGAGGGTAACAGTGGGGATCCGTTCAGAGGTGTTCAAGGCTAGAAGAGGAAGAAGCCACGACTGAAGGAGTGGTCTGTTCTGGCAAGTGTTCGAAGAAGAAGAAGCTGGTGGGGGTCGCTGCTGTGCTTGGGGTCTAGAGTGACAGCTCATATGGAGATTAATGGAGGTGAGGGAATAGCGGTTAGTATTGTTGGTGGCGAGGGAGTGGCCAGTGGTGTTGGAGGTGGTCCGGCATCTGAAGGTCGTTTTAAGGCTTCTGTTCAGTCCAGGAAGAAGGAGGAGTTGTGTGTTTTTGTCTCCTCCAGAAGATGATCGATTAGGGGGGGTCTTCACGATATATCTCTTCTTCAGGTTCTTTAGGTCTTTTTAGATTGGGTTGGGTTAGGGAATGAGTATTGGGTATTGGGCTTGGATTTATGGTCTAAGGGTTGAATTAGGCTCTAAATCTACCAAATCGGGCTAGAAAAATACTGAAAATTTAATTTGCTTTTTAAAAAAAAATACTTATAACAAGGTATAAAGTAACTCTTAATTGATTTTAATAAACTATTATATTTAAAATAAAAATAAAACTAAAAATTAAAGTTGAAACTATTTTTGCATTTTCAAAGATTATATTAAAATAAAATAAAATAGGTTCAAAGTAATATATCCTCCTAAAAATATCTAATACGTGAATTAAATAGAGAAATATGGAACTATTTTTTTATATTTTTAATTTTGTGATAAAATAATGTAAAAGAGTCAAAAATTAGTTGAAATAAGTATATTAGACCTAGACTAAGTATTTAAATGATAAAATATGTAAAATTTTGGGGAGGGTCAAAAATCACATGTCTACAATCCAAAAACCTATCAAACCTCATCCAAAGGGCCTGAAATTTTGCACCCACATCATAAATGACACAACGGACCTACTCCAATTTTCGGAAACCCATTCAGACCCAGATATCAAGATTTCCACTGCTAATCGGAAAACGCCAAGATTCTAGTTTCACCAATTCAATTCTAAATCTATCGTGGACCTCCAAAATACATTTCGATCACGCTTTTAAGAACCAAATCACCTAACGAAGCTATCTGAACCATAAAAATCAAATTTTGAGATCATTTACTCACAAGTCTACTTCCGGTTAACTTTTTCCAACTTAAGCTTACTCAAAAGAGACTAAGTGTCTCATTCCACTCTAAGATCACTCCAAACACAACACAACCAACACGATATTATGAAATACTGCTAAACAACACACAAGGAAGCAGAAATGGGGAAAATGGAGCGGTAACTCATGAAACGACCGGCCGGGTCATTACATCATCCCCCCTCTTAAATAAACGTTCGTCCTCGAATGGGTAAAGAAACATACCTAAAGCCTCAAACAGGTGTGGATATCTTCTCTGCATCTCCCGCTCGGTATCCCAGGTAGCCTCCTCCACGGGCCGACCTCTCCACTACACTTTCACTGAAGCTATATCCTTTGATCTTAACTTTCGAATCTAATGCTCCAAAATAGCCACTGGCTCCACATCATAAGTCAAATCACCATCTAATTGAACCGTGCTGAAATCCAAAACATGAGACAAATCGCCAATATACTTCCAGAGCATAAAAACACGAAATACCGGATACACACTCGACAGGCTAGGTGGCAAAGCTAGCTCATAAGCCACCTGCCCAATCTTCCGAAGCACCTCAAAAGATCCAATAAATTGAGGACTCAATTTACCCTTCTTCCCAAACCTTATAACACCCTTCATCGGTAAAATCTTCAGTAGAACCTTCTCCCCAACCATGTTAGACACATCATGAACCTTCTTGTCAGCATAACTCTTTTGTCTTGACTGCGCTATACGAAGTCGCTCCTGAATCGCCTTCAATTTGTCCAAAGCATCCTGAACCAAGTCTGTACCCAAAAGTTTAGCCTCGCTCGGATTAAATAAACCAACTAGAGATATATATTGTCTCCCATATAAAGCCTCATATGGAGCCATCTGAATACTCGACTGATAATTGTTGTTATATGCAAACTCCGCGAGCAGTAGAAACTAATCCCATGAACCCCCAAAATCAATGATGCAAGTGCGTAACATGTGTCTTCCAATATCTGAATAGTGCGCTCAGACTGGCCGTCTGTCTGAGGGTGAAAAGTTTTGCTCAACTCAACCTGAGTACCCAACTCTCACTGCATGGCTCTCCAAAACTACGAAGTGAAGTGAGTACCTCTATCTAAATGATGGAAACTGGGACACCATGCAAGCGAACAATCTCCCGAATATAAATCTCTGCTAACCGCTCTGAAGAATAGGTAGTACACACAGGAATGAAGTGCACAAACTTGGTCAGTCGATTCACAATCACCCAAATAGCATCAAACTTCTTCAAAGTCCATGGGATTTCAACTACAAAATCCATGGTGATCCGCTCCCACTTCCACTCTGGAATATCTAACCGCTGAAGCAAGCCACCCAGACTCTGATGCTCATATTTCACCTGCTGATAATTGAGACACTGAGATACAAATCCCACAATATCCTTCTTCATTCTTCTCCACCAATAATGTTGTCTCATATCCTGATACATCTTTGTGGCACCGGGATGGATGGAATACCGCGAGCTATGGGCCTCCTCCAGAATCAACTCCCAAAGCCCATCTACATTGGGCATACATATACGGCCATGCATCCTCAATACTCCGTCATCACCAATAGTCACATCTCTGGCATCGTCGTGCTGAACTTTGTCCTTGAGGACAAGCAAATAAGGATCATCATACTGGCGCTCTCTGATGCAATCAAACAAGAAAGACCGGGAAACCACACAAGCTAAGACTCGATTAGGCTCCGCAATATCCAACCTCACAAACCATTTGGCCAAGGCGAACATCAATTGCAAGAGGTCGTTCCCCAACAGGAATATATGCCAAACTGCTTATACTTACCGCCTTCCTACTCAAAGCATCGGCCACCACATTGGCCTTCCCCGGGTAATACAAGATGGTAATATCATAGTCCTTTAGCAGCTCCAACCATCTCCGCTGCCTCAAATTGAGATCCTTCTATTTGACCAAGTGTTGGAGGCTACGATGATCAGTAAATACCTCATAAGACATAATATAGAGATAATGTCTCCAATTCTTCAATGCGTGAATAATGGCAGCCAACTCCAAATTATAAAGGGATAGTTCTTCTCATGGGGCTTCAACTGACGAGAAGCATAAGCAATCACTCTACCCTCCTGCATCAACACATACCCAATACCAACTCTCGAAGCATCACAATACACTGTATATGAACCTGAAGCTAATGGCAAAACTAACACTGGAGCAGTGGTCAAGGCAGTCTTGAGCTTCTGAAAGCTCGCCTCACACTCATCCGACCACCTGAATGGAGCACCCTTTTGAGTTAATTTGGTCAAGGGTGATGCTATAGATGAAAATCCCTGAGCGAACCAACGGTAATAGCCCGCCAAACCAAGAAAGCTACAAATATCTATGGCTAAGGATGGTCTGGGACAACTCTGAATTGTCTCTATCTTCTTCGGGTCAACCTGAATACACTTACTGGACACCACGTGCCCCAAAAAAGCCACTGAAATGAGACAAAACTCACACTTGAGGAACTTTGCATGAAGCTTCTCCTCCCTCAACTGCTACAATACCACTCTCAAATGCTCTATGTGCTCCTCCTAACTATGCAAGTATACCATAATATCATCAATGAATACAATGACAAACGAGTCGAGGTAAGGCCGAAACACGTTGTTTATCAAATGCATGAACGTTGCTGGGGCATTGGTCAACCCAAAAGACATCACAAGGAACTCATAATGACCATATCGAGTCCTGAAAGCCGTCTTAAGAATATTTGAGTCTCTGAGCTTCAACTGGTGATACCCTGACCTGAGATCAATTTTGGAGAACACCCTCACTCCCTGAAGCTGGCCAAATAAATCATCAATACAAGGTAAATGATACTTATTCTTGATTGTGACATTCTTCAACTGCTTGTAATCAATGCATATCCTCATCATTCCATCCTTCTTCTTCACAAATAGAATAGGCGCACCCCAAAGCGACACACTAGGTCGAATAAACCCCTTATCAAGGAGTTCCTAAAGTTGCTCCTTCAACTCCTTCAACTCCGCTGGTGCCATATGATACAGTGGAATAGAAATGGGCTGAGTGTCTGGTACCAAATCAATACCAAAGTCAATATCCCTGTCTGGCGGCATGCCCGACAAGTCTACAAGAAACATATCCAGGAAGTCCCTTACTATAGGAACTGAATTAATGGTAGAAGTCTCTGCACTAACGTCCCTCACGAAGGCCAGATACAGAAGACATCCCTTCCCAACCATCCGTTGGGCCTTCAAAATGAAATCATTCTACTAGGAACATAATCCGTCGAACCTCGCCACTCAATCAGTGGCACCCCCGGCATAGCCAATATCACTGTCTTAGCATGACTGTCCAAAATAGAATGACATGGAGATATCCAATCCATGCACAATATCACATCAAAATCAACCATACTAAGTAACAAGAGATCCACTCGGGTATCCAAACCCCCAATAATCACCACACACAACCAATATACGCAGTCCACAATAATAGTATCGCCCACTAGAGTAGATAAACAAATAAATGAACCAAGATACTCGTGGGGCATATCCAAATAATGAGCAAAATATGATGACACATATGAAAAAGTGGAACCGGGGTCAAATAATACAGAGGCATCTCTGTGGCATATGAAGACACTACCTGTAATCACAGCATTTGAAGCAACAGCATCTGGTCTGGCTGGGAGTGCATAAAAATGGGCTTGACCACCACCTGATCGACCTCCCCCTCTAAGGCGACCTCTAGCTGACTGACCTCCATCCCGAGCTGACTCCGCGGGTGGGAAAGTAATTGGTGCTGAAGTCGAAGGCTGACTCCTCTACTGGGATGCCTCCCGTAAGATGGGGCAAAACCTCTTGATATGACCCAAATCTCAACACTCGAAGCAACATGTCTCGGCAAAATGGCGGTGGAGAATGAAGGGAGCCCCGAGCACCGGGATACCCACTAGAAGAACCAGGCATAGATAAGCCCTAAACTGATGGTTCTTGGGTCAAACTCTGAGCCGGAAGGGCACTGAGATATGAGTAACCCCGATGTGAACTATGAAAACCATCGCCAGATGATCCACGACGGTGACTTGAACGGGTTGGCTGAGTATGTCTGAATGGACGACCTCTGCCATGCTGAAACTGACCTCCCGAAGGAACACCACCAAAACTACCAGATCCCTGAGGCCTCTTGGACTCCCTCTAATCTCGCTCCTAGAAGCAAACTGACT